AGGAAGGAAGGAAGGAAGGAAGGAAGGAAGGAAGATAGATAGATAGATAGATAGATAGATAGATAGATAGATAGATAGATAGATAGACAGACAGATAGATAAACCTCTGGAGCCCAGGCGTGTTCCAAAACTTAGGGATCACTGTGTGTCAGAGCACTCCAGGAGGCTACCGCTGCCCACGCTAGTGCAGAGCAGACCTTTGTCCGTGTTGTTGTTAGGTCCATCCTGTCACTTCTGACCCCTAGCGACCTTGGGCACGACAGGAGGAAGCACCACCCGTCCTGCGCCATCCTCCCCGTGGATCCCCTGCCTGAGCCCTTGGTGGCAGCCAGGGTGTCCACCCATCTTCTGGAGAGCCTTCCTCTCCTTTGCCGCCCCTCTACTCTACCAAACTCGATGTCCTCCTGCAGGGACTGGTCTCTCTTGACAACGTGTCCAAAGCCACCTACATGCATCTCGCATGTGTCACGCCCACTGACCTCGATCAAGTCCACCCTGACTCCTGGCGACCGTGTAGAAGTTTCTGAGACGTCAGACAGACAGCTTCCTCTTTCTCCCTCTGGGCGGCTGGTGGTTTGGAGCAGCTCGGTGTCTAACGCACAGCACAAGGCACTAAATACTGGAACGCAGCACCTAACGCCCCTGATACTTTGAGATAGGATGCTGTCACGTGATTTGATAGGAACCCTGGTGGCTGTGGAGTGCTTAGGAGTTGGGCTGCCATCTGCAAGGTCACCAGTTTGAAACCACCAGCCGACCCTCGGAAGAAAGACGAGACTTCCTACCCCTGCCAACAGTTACAGTCTCAGAAACCCACAGGGACAGTTCTACCCTGTCCTGTAGGGTCGCCATGAGTTGGCATTCACTCGGTGGCAATGAATTATTTTCTAAACATAATTTGGGCATTGGGAAAACATCGTCTTAAAAGTCTTAAGGGACCCCACCTTTGGTTGTCCTCATGGTGATGCGATGTTGGAGGGTGGGCACTGCCCGCAGCCGCATGGGCGAGGATGGGTGGGAGCAGAGCTGCAGGAAGTGAGGCCGTGAGGGAGAAGGAGGGAGCAGAGTGCCCACCCTGCCCACTGTCTGCTCCCTGAGCAGCAGGAGCAGCCCGGGTCCCCTGCCACCAGCCCCGGCTGCCCTAAGGACAAAACCCAGGGCCCATGCCCAGAGCCACGCCCTCTGCCTCACCGGCCTGCATCCCACCCCTAGCCCAGCGCGGTGAGAGTCTGGGTTTGGGGTCTTTAAAGCCATTGGGAGAAATAGGAACCCAAAAGAGAGCAGCTTTCTCCCTAAAAACAACAAATCTACAAAAACAAAATACCTTTCCAGACCAGAGGGTAGGCGCAGCCGCACATTTCCCGATCTGCTGGTATGATGCTACACATACCTGTCAGGCTCTGTCCTTGCTGACATCAGCGCCAGCGGCCTCCCAGTCGGCGCCGACTCACAGCGATCCCATTCCAGTGGAAACCAATACCCATGCTCCAGAGGGCTTCTGATGGCTGTTTTCTGAGAGATTGCCACCCCTTTCTTCCGAGGTGCCTCTGGGTGGTCTTGCATCGCTGACCTCTGGGTCAGCAGCTGAGCCCACCTACAGGTGGTTCCATCGGGGCCTCCGTCTTCTTCCCCACGTCCTCCTAGCTGGATTCGCTGACAACTGCAGATGGAGGGACCACAGGGCATCGTCCCTGAGGTCGCCGGCTCTCTGTTCCTTTCTTTAGCTTCCCACAGAGAAGGTGTGTCCTGGGCCAGAGGCCGAGCAAGGCTCCCTTCACCACGGCTGTGGGCAGATGATGCAGTGGTGTGGTGGCTACACGCTGGGCCGCGCTCCCCCTGGTCGGCAGTTCAAAACCACCAGCAGCTCCGAGGGAGAAACAGCTGGACTTCCTATTCCCGTCAACAGCTGCATAATCGGAACCCCCACCCCCACCCCCGCACCACCCCCACCCCCAGCAGTCACTGTGAGTCAGCCCTGACTCAGTGACAGTGAGTTTGGTTTGGGGCTTACTTGCCACGTGGTACTACAACACACGTTGTTGTTTTCATTATTTGAAAAGTAAAAGTGTCACCGTGAAGAGTCCCTCTGAGACCGGTAGTTGACTTTCGGCCCAGACTGCAATTTCCCCTCCGTCCTTTGCTGCCTTTCCCTGCAGGACGGCAGGGAGGCACGGGGATGTGAGTAGCGAGACCCAGAGACACACTGGGCTTCGGTGTTCCTCCTCTGCGAGATGGAGATACTAATGGCTCTCATCTCCTAGGACTGTTGTGACAAATCAGTGAGGGAGCGCACACTGGGTGCACACGTCACCATGGTGGCATGCGCCCGTGTCCCAGCACTCCCGATGGCCCCCGGCCAGGCAGACCTCTGTTCATACTGGTATTGTGGGCATCCTCTGTGCCTCGGGTTTGCTGGCTTCCAATATCAGCACCACCAGCCCTGATGCCTTGCCCCGGCTCTAAAGTCCACCCAGGATCGAAGGCGGCATGCTTGTCCTTGGTACTGAAGCGTGCACTTCCCCCCAGCAAAGTGTTCTACAGGTAACCCCATTCCGTGACGGCTACGGGCTCCCCAAAGGGCCGTTTGAAAGTCCATGATGTGGACTTGCAAAGTGCAGTGCCAGGGCCGATGGGGCTGCCACCCTTCACCTCTGTTTTCCAGGTGTTCTGAAGAGCCGGATCCCGCTGTTAACTTACCAAGGTGGATCAGTGGGAGAGGCCCAGGCTTTTCTGTGCGAGGATGAGGACCCCAAGACACCGAGGTATGTCTGTCCCACTCCGGTTTCACTGTGTGATGATGACAAGGCGGTCAGCAACCCGGCCAGCTAAGTCTCCACTCTCCTTAGCCTTCTGTAGAGAACCAGGCCACCAGCCCAGGGCTAATGCGTCTCTCAGAGCTAACGAACGGGCAGGGGAGCGGGGAAGTGGCTGGAAGTAGCGGGTCCCTGGTGAGCAGGAGGAGATGGCATGGCTTTCTGATAGAGGGAAGTGGCAGGGGAGTTCTTTAAAAAACAAAAACCACCGAGCAGTTTCCCCAGCTGCCTGCCAGAACCCGTTCGGGGGTCTGAAGCCCTTTCGGTGAGCTTCGACTCTGCCCACGGACCAGCCTTTCTGATAAATGAACCGAGTGACGCAGACGCAGTGCCGTCTTGCTCAGTCATGGCACATAGGGACTGGTGACTCCTCACACACCCGTGCGTGTGTACGTTTCCAACTGTGGGGTGTGGTCACTTTGAAAAAATACTTATGTGTCGGGATTTTTTTTTCAGATTTTAAAACCTTTGATACCTTGTTTGGCAAACATTGTTTTAGACAGCACACAATCATGAATTCACTTTGCCTTGCCCAGCAGCAAGCGCGCACACACAGGATTGCTGCAACAGAAGTTTGAGTGAATCACATTTGCTCCTGCTATACCCCGTACTACGATAGTCTATATTTCAGTTTATGCTCCTCTTCCCCTTTTCAGAAAAACTAATGCCAATCAAGCCCAATGAATGGGTTTCATAGCCCTCGCACCAGTGCCCAGGTAGCATGTGAGACTCTGCTTTCAGAAGCCATGAGAGCACACGGCAGTACAAGTCACAGAAGACTTGCTCAGAGTGGAGACCCGAGTCACCAGGGAAACATTCGATTGTGGATCTGATTTGCTATTTAAAACCGCAAGATGTAATGTCTGCAGTGTGTATTAGAAAGGTTTATAGTCTTCCAGATGATTCACATTCAAATAAAACTGTCTTCGGAGGGAGTGCTTAATAATTTATTTTGGAAAGGTCAGTAAGATGCCGGTTCTTAGGATGTCGAGAATCTCCAACTCTCCCCAACGGATGTCACACTCCATCATCTCTCCCTCCCATCGCTGGCCACTCGCTGCACTGTCTCACAGACTTATGAACTGCCATGGAAGTATTGTACTGTTGTAGAGGCTGCCAAGACCCCGAATCTGTGTGTCAGGCATCAGTCTGGAGGCTCCCATGACTCATGCAGTGGTAGGGCCTGATGGACTCTCATCAGCAGGTCAGACAGCAGGCTGCTGGCTCAAGGCTGCAGAAGCCAACAAATCTGGTCAGATGATAGACTGCTGGTTCCAGTCCCAAGAACCAGAGGACAGATGCAGATGGACCAGATGCAGAATCCAGAACAAGCAAGCAGAGAACTTTGCCCGGGCATTCGCGTCTTAAGAGGCAGACCATACCCTCAGGGGGACGTTCCTTCCTCGAGCGAGACAGCACCAGGGTGTGTGGACTGGCGCCTTGAGTCAGACTCTCTAGGAAGGCTGCCATTCAGATGCTGCGTGCCACCCTGACCCTGCCTCCTTAGTATCAGGGACAACTGCCCCTCCCATGGGACACAACCACAGACACAAAGACTAGGGTCCACAACACATCACAACACATCGGATCAACAAAACCCACTATCTCTGAGCCTGGCCCCACAAGGGCCGAGCAGAACTGCTACCACCTTTCTCCCTCAGCAACTGTGGGGCTCAAACTGCTAACCTTAGGGTTGGCGGCCCAATGTCTAGCTGACTGTGCCACCAGCGAAGAGTCATAGTGCATCACTCCCTGTCCTGGAGGGAGAAACTAGAAAAGCCTTCTCAGGGGACCTCAGATGCTGGGGGGCACAGGTGGTCCCCTGATGGCTGTGGAGAGAGAGGGAGAGCCTGGTCCCACGGTAGAGAGCGAGGCTCCTGGTGTCTGGAGAAGCCGTGTGGACATTTCCTGGGGAAGAGGTTTCAGAGGAGTGAATGACTTCTTGCTGTAGCTACCTGGGTCCTTCAGACTTGAAACTTGGTCCGCTTCTACATGGTGGGCCATTGAGTTCTCCCCTGGGGAGACCCACAGCCCCAGGTTTCCCTCCAGCA